GAGTTTATCATCATACAGAACTCTGTATGATGAACTCATGCAGAGTTCATCATCATACAGAACTCTTTATGATGAAGTAACGCAGAAAGAGTTCATCGTCATACCAAATTCTGTGTGATGAACTAACTCATATAGAGTTCATCGTCAGAGAACTCTGTATGATGAACTCATGTAGAGTTCATTGTCATACAGAACTCTATGATGAACTCATGCAGAGTTCATCATCATACAGATCTCTGTATGATGAACTAAATCATATAGAGTTCATTGTCATACAGAATTCTGTATGATGAACTAACTCATGTAGAGTTCATCATCATACAGTACTCTGTATGATGAACTCACGTAGAGTTCATCGTCATACAGAAATCTGTATGATGAACTCACGTAGTTGATCATCATACAGAACTCTGTATAATGAACTCATGTAGAGTTCATCGTCATACAGAACTCTGTATGATGAACTCAGGTAGTTCATCATCATACAGAACTCTGTATAATGAACTCATGTAGAGTTCATCATCATACAGAATTCTGTATGATAAACTAACTCATGTAGAGTTTATCGTCATACATAACTCTGTATGATGAACTCATGTAGAGTTCATCGTCATACAGAACTCTGTGTGATGAACTCACGTAGAGTTCATCATCATACAGAACTCTGTATAATGAACTCATGTAGAGTTCATCGTCATACAGAATTCTGTATGATGAACTAACTCATGTAGAGTTCATCGTCATACAGAATTCTGTATGATGAACTAACTCATGTAGAGTTCATCGTCATACAGAACTCTGTATGATGAACTCATGTAGAACTCATCATCATACAGAACTCTGTATGATGAACTCACGTAGAGTTCATCATCATACAGAACTCTGTATAATGAACTCATGTAGAGTTCATCGTCATACAGAATTCTGTATGATGAACTAACTCATGTAGAGTTCATCGTCATACAGAACTCTGTATGATGAACTCATGTAGAGTTCGTCATATAGAACTCTGTATGATGAACTCATGCAGAGTTCATCATCATACAGAACTCTTTATGATGAAGTAACGCAGAAGGAGTTCATTGTCATACTAAATTCTGTGTGATGAACTAACTCATATAGAGTTCATCGTCACAGAACTCTGTATGATGAACTCATGCAGAGTTCATTGTCATACAGAATTCTGTATGATGAACTAACTCATGTAGAGTTCATCGTCATACAGAACTCTGTATGATGGACTAACTCATATAGAGTTCATCATCATAGAACTCTGTATGATTAACTAACTCATGTAGAGTTCAACGTCATACAGAACTCTGTATGATGAACTCATGTAGAGTTCATTGTCATACAGAACTCTACGATGAACTCATGCAGAGTTCATCATCATACAGAACTCTGTATGATGAACTAAATCATATAGAGTTCATTGTCATACAGAATTCTGTATGATGAACTAACTCATGTAGAGTTCATCATCATACAGTACTCTGTATGATGAACTCACGTAGAGTTCATCGTCATACAATACTCTGTATGATGAACTCATGTAGAGTTCATCGTCATACAGAACTCTGTATGATGAACTCACGTAGTTGATCATCATACAGAACTCTGTATAATGAACTCATGTAGAGTTCATCGTCATACAGAATTCTGTATGATGAAATAACTCATGTAGAGTTCATAACTCATGTAGAACTCATGTAGAGTTCATCGTCATACAGAATTCTGTATGATGAACTAACTCATGTAGAGTTCATCGTCATACAGAACTCTGTATGATGAACTCATGTAGAGTTCGTCATATAGAACTCTGTATGATGAACTCATGCAGAGTTCATCATCATACAGAACTCTTTATGATGAAGTAACGCAGAAAGAGTTCATTGTCATACTAAATTCTGTGTGATGAACTAACTCATATAGAGTTCATCGTCACAGAACTCTGTATGATGAACTCATGCAGAGTTCATTGTCATACAGAATTCTGTATGATGAACTAACTCATGTAGAGTTCATCGTCATACAGAACTCTGTATGATGAACTAACTCATATAGAGTTCATCATCACAGAACTCTGTATGATTAACTAACTCATGTAGAGTTCAACGTCATACAGAACTCTGTATGATGAACTCATGTAGAGTTCATTGTCATACAGAACTCTATGATGAACTCATGCAGAGTTCATCATCATACAGAACTCTGTATGATGAACTAAATCATATAGAGTTCATTGTCATACAGAATTCTGTATGATGAACTAACTCATGTAGAGTTCATCATCATACAGTACTCTGTATGATGAACTCACGTAGAGTTCATCGTCATACAATACTCTGTATGATGAACTCATGTAGAGTTCATCGTCATACAGAACTCTGTATGATGAACTCACGTAGTTGATCATCATACAGAACTCTGTATAATGAACTCATGTAGAGTTCATCGTCATACAGAATTCTGTATGATGAAATAACTCATGTAGAGTTCATAACTCATGTAGAACTCATGTAGAGTTCATCGTCATACAGAATTCTGTATGATGAACTAACTCATGTAGAGTTCATCGTCATACAGAACTCTGTATGATGAACTCATGTAGAGTTCATCGTTATACAGAACTCAGTATGATGAACTCACGTAGAGTTCATCATCATACAGAACTCTGTATAATGAACTCATGTAGAGTTCATCGTCATACAGAATTCTGTATGATGAACTAACTCATGTAGAGTTCATCGTCATACAGAACTCTGTATGATGAACTCATGTAGAGTTCGTCATATAGAACTCTGTATGATGAACTCATGCAGAGTTCATCATCATACAGAACTCTTTATGATGAAGTAACGCAGAAAGAGTTCATTGTCATACTAAATTCTGTGTGATGAACTAACTCATATAGAGTTCATCGTCACAGAACTCTGTATGATGAACTCATGCAGAGTTCATTGTCATACAGAATTCTGTATGATGAACTAACTCATGTAGAGTTCATCGTCATACAGAACTCTGTATGATTAACTAACTCATATAGAGTTCATCATCACAGAACTCTGTATGATGAACTAACTCATGTAGAGTTCATCGTCATACAGAACTCTGTATGATGAACTCATGTAGAGTTCATTGTCATACAGAACTCTATGATGAACTCATGCAGAGTCCATCGTCATACAGAACTCTGTATGATGAACTCACGTAGTTGATCATCATACAGAACTCTGTATAATGAACTCATGTAGAGTTCATCGTCATACATAACTCTGTATGATGAACTCATGTAGAGTTCATCATCATACAGAACTCTGTATAATGAACTCATGTAGAGTTCATCGTCATACATAACTCTGTATGATGAACTCATGTAGAGTTCATCGTCATACAGAACTCTGTATGATGAACTCATGTAGAGTTCATCATCATACAGAACTCTGTATGATGAACTCATGTAGAGTTCATCGTCATACATAACTCTGTATGATGAACTCATGTAGAGTTCATCGTTATACAGAACTCAGTATGATGAACTCACGTAGAGTTCATCATCATACAGAACTCTGTATGATGAACTCATGTAGAGTTCATCGTTATACAGAACTCAGTATGATGAACTCATGTAGAGTTCATTGTCATACAGAATTCTGTATGATGAACTCATGTAGAGTTCATCGTCATACAGAACTCTGTATGATGAACTCACGTAGAGTTCATTGTCATACAGAACTCTATGATGAACTACCTCATATAGAGTTCATTGTCATACAGAATTCTGTATTTTGAACTAACTCATGTAGAGTTCATTGTCATACAGTACTCCCTACGATGAACTCATGTAGAGTTCATCGTCATACAATACTCTGTATGATGAACTCACGTAGAGTTTATCATCATACAGAACTCTGTATGATGAACTCATGCAGAGTTCATCATCATACAGAACTCTGTATGATGAACTCATGTAGAGTTCATCGTCATACAGAACTCTGTATGATGAACTCATGTAGAGTTCATCGTCATACAGAACTCTGTATGATGAACTCATGTAGAGTTCATCGTCATACAGAACTCTGTATGATGAACTCATGTAGAGTTCATCATACAGAGTTCTGTATGATGAACTCATGTAGAGTTCATCGTCATACAGAACTCTGTATGATGAACTCATGTAGAGTTCATCGTCATACAGAACTCTGTATGATGAACTCCTGTAGAGTTCATCGTCACACAGAACTGTATGATGAACTCATCTAGAGTTCATCGTCATACAGAACTGTGTATGATGAACTCATGTAGAGTTCATCGTCATACATAACTCTGTATGATGAACTCATACTCTACATGAGTTCATCATACAGAACTCTGTATGATGAACTCATGTAGAGTTCATCATCATACAGAACTCTGTATGATGAACTCATGTAGAGTTCATCATCATACAGAACTCTTTATGATGAACTCACCGCAGTTTCCCCAGGTGTTTGCTAATTGTTGCTGCTGCTAGTCTAGTGGAGCAGGGTGGTGAAGGTGGGAGGGAGGGGTTCCCTGTCCCGGCTGAAGAAAAACATCCCCACAGCATAACTCTGCCACTACCATGTTTCACTTTCTGCTACAACATTGTTTAGCATTTTCGCCAAGTAGTTAAATCTTGGTCCAGAAGACCTTTTCCTACACTGTCTTTTTGGCCTGTAGTAAACTGAGCAGTTTGTTGCTCTTCCAGAAATGTCACTCATATAATGCTGACACATTCTCCCACCTGAGTGCAATGTATCGTTATCCATCTACTTGGATATATCCATCACACAACATCCTCTCAATCTACATAGATGATGTGGTAGTTTTTTGGGGGGTTTTTAGATGATGCGGTAGTAACATAAGAAAATCACAAAAGCGCGGCGTATAAACATCTGTATCATGTCGTCACATGCTAAACGAAACAACGTATAGCATCTGCTGAGTGTGTGTCACTGATGTGATGGCCTCTTCCTCAGGGTTCGGGTAACCTGGTCCTCCAGAGAGCCGCAGACGGGACTCCAGTCCAGTGGTTTGTGGCCGAGGACGCTGAAATCGTGAGCCAGGTGTAACCTGCATCTGTTCCCGTTTATTTATCTCTGTATTTATTGAGACTTTAGACTCTCTGTGAGATTGTAAAGAAGGCCGACCTGTTGGTACCAGTATGGTAATTATTTATAATTTAACGTAAGGTGGAACGCCGGCTTTATTTATTTTAGGTTGTCTCTTATTAGACTGTAGCTAAAGCAAGGCTCATGCAATCTTAAAGACTTGTTAAATGGACCATAGACTTTTTTGCTGTTGTGGCTGGCACACATTTTTTTTTACACAAACGTCACCTCTTTTAGACATCATATAGGTTTTCACTTTTATATAAATTTTGACTATATTTATTTTAAAAGTTTTTCCCTTACAAAATGGATTTATAACAATTTTGAAACCATATTGGACCTACCTAAATTTTTCTTTTGTATCTTTATGACTTGCCGACACCTTTTAGAGTGGTTTGATGAAAGTTTTAACTGCAGTATGCCATGCTCTTACTAACCGCATGATTGTGTGAGCGTTGAGAAATTATTTTTTTGTATATTTATAATAAAGCATTTAAAAACAAGTGATGGAGAATGGCTTTATTCTGCAAGCTAAATCCTTGAAGAGAATGAGGATGAAGTATTCCTGAGTGTTCAGGGATCATGGCTCAGCCTCTCCTTCGTGAATCTTCCAAATGATGCAAGTCAGCATCACCACGCAGAAAAGCACAAACAGGTTGGCGCATATCCGCGCCCATCGGCAGCGCTGCAGCCGGACCGGCAGAGGATCCTGCCTGCATGGAGACCCATACCTGAAGGAGGCAGACACTTGTTGTTTCTCCACACAAAACTATCACCATCACTTAGTCATTTACTTGGAAAAAAACAAAAACAATAATGTTGCATTTACTTACGTGCCAATGGAGATTTGTCTCTGGACAGTTTTTCTTTCCTTCGCTTTGGTTAATGCAGCTGCTTTAGCTTTCTGTCTTTGTCGCAGAGAGTCCAGCGAGACGCTGCGGCAAAGCCACAAAGGCTTGCTATTAAAATGATGGAATGTTTGTTCAAGTTATGCAAAAAATAACCACAAAAATCCTTATTACCTATTTGCTTAAACCCCTTTTATGGAAAGACGTGAACCAGTTCAAAAAAGTAAACCAAATGTTCATCTGAGGGATAAATGGTTGTAGGTAAAGTGAAAACCGAGTCAAGCGAAAGCTTTAAAATTTTTAACAAAAACTTAAGTTCAAGTATACTTACTGAAATAATTTTGGCAAAAAAAAAAAAAGATTGTGAAAATCCTTAAATGTAACTTTCATTGCAGTAGTTTAATCCCACACTAGACAAACACAGCCTAACTAGTTTGAAATTAGCTGGAAAAAATTTTCCTGTGAAGATTTATTTTAAATATTCATGCCAGAATTACAAACAATTAAAAACAATTCTTAGACTGTTTCACTTTTTTAGTTGCTCAGTGTGTTTGCAAATGTTTAATCTTACTTGTATTGCTGACCATGTTACTGTTATGACTAATATTATCTTAAATTAATTTCAAGTAGAGCAGATGTTTGTTGATCTCAATAAATTGGGAAGTGGAACCAAGATGCAAAAGCTCTTTGGTATCTTAAAAAACATTTTAAAACAATTCCTTTCGGGATTTTTTCTTACGTTCAATAAGAGGAGAAGTGGGCATCATTCATAAGAAAAATTAAACTACAACCTCTAACAAGATTATTGAGGCTACTGAGAGAATCCCGTACTTTCTGTTCTGCGTATTTGAAGGAATCACTTCCTCTGTCGGAAGGTTGTCCGGGCCGGGAGCAGAAAGATCCAGAAGACAATCTCCTGATGGATCTGGGTCCGGTTGTCTGAAAACAAAACTTGTTAAAAGAAAATTGCAAACATGCGGTCCAGATGAAAGCCGAACGTTTATTTCACAATGCACCTTTCATTCATTAGGTGGCCGTCCTCTTGGGTAAACACAGAGCAACAAGAATCTAAGCTCAGGGACGGAGACAAGAGTGGAGGAGAGTGTTTCTTCCAGGAGGAGGTTCTCTTCCTTGAATCTCGCTTCTTCTTCTCCTGTTTGGAAGGAAATTATGCTAATTACGGCGGCAAGATTTTAGGAGAGTTCACCAAGGAAACCTTCTTACCAGGTTTGGGCTGGAAATGATTGATGCGCTGACTCTCCTTCGTAAGACGCTCTGGAAAAAAACCAGACAAAACTGGAGTAAGAAGGCGGATCTGATCAGGAGATCCATTCTTCCGTAAGCCGAAACCTGCACACCTGGTTGGAGTTCCTCCTCTTCCTGTCCTCCTGTCTGTCTGGGTCTGCTGTAAGAGAGAAATGGCCAGGCCTTATTTCGACAGCATCAAAACACTAGTGGACGAACAGAAACGCCCCAGACCTGGGATGACTCTGGGATGGATGCTGTGTCTGCTGGAGTTCAGCTGCTGCTGCTGCAGATTGTGTTTGGCTTCTTCCAGCTCGGCTAAATTTCTGTCGTGACGCCTCCTCAGACTCTCCACGTGAGCCACCATGAGCTCCACAGCACGACTCACCCGAGCCTCCTATGAAAGTCAAACATCCGGTCACGGCGAAAACAAACCACAAGTTACAACAAGTTGAAGCTACGGGGGGAAAACGATTTTACATCTCTATTGATAAATAGCAACCCAAGATCATCTCAAGCAGCTTTGATCAGCTAGTTTTACTGCTGTACAATGAAAGGACAAGAGTTTTGTTGTTGACTTGTCATTGCTGTGCTCTGATGTCTTCTGTTTCAGGCTCAAAGATGTACGGTTGCATCTATTTACTGCATTTTCTCTTGTATAAAATGCAAGCACTGAAATGGAGGGCGTGGCCAGCATCAGATTTACAAACAGAGGAGGCCCAAAAGCATCTCATTCTGAAGCTCAAAACTGGCAAGAACCATCATTGGTCCCCTTCAGTGCTGTTGACCAGTAATAAACATGACCTTCGTGTACCTGGTGGACGGCACCGAGCACCTCGGCTGTGCTGGAGATCCGCTCTACTGTCCCTCTGAGGATGTCCAGAGAAAGCTCCAGCCTCTGCAGGATGCTGCTGCGTTTACTGTCCAAACACAGAGCCTTCAACGTCTGAAAGCACACACAATCACGTCGACTTCCTCCCATTCACTTCCAACTCTTACATTCCCAAAGTAAAGTTTTGAGCTTAGTTGGCGCTGTTCTTACGTGAGCTCAGCTACAGTTTATTGTAAAGGCATTCAGACTCTTCGAAACTTTTAAAGCTCTTTAGGCCCACAGTGATAGAGGAATTGTGAAGCAGAAGGAAATTTAGGAGGAGAAAAAAAAACATCTGAAGAGTATAATATTCACTTATATTCAACCCCCTTTAATCCGATACCAGTAATAAGTCCAGTTCATTCTTATGCCTTCATAAACTATCTAAACATCAAAAACAATCAGAGAAGCAGCCAAGATGGAAAATACCAGAAAGGCAATATGGATAAAAATCACCTGGACTCTATGCTTCTCTGCTTATGTAAGACCTTAAAAGGGTAAAGCTATAATTATCGGATGTGATGGAAATCTGTCTTTCTAAATACAAAAAATAATTACAAAAATAGAGACGCAACCAAGAAGACTTTGGTGTCTCTGGAGCAGAAGCAGGGATACGCAGCTCAGGTATTAGAATCTGATGACAAGGCACCAATCAGTCATGCACTCCACAAACCTGCCTGGAACAGGAAATTCAAGAGAAATGAGAAAAAAAGTTTCTTTGGTCATATAAGACCTTTTTTTTTTCTTCATTTTTTTAGCTAAATCCAGGCCGATCCCAGAAGCAAACCTGTTAGAAGCAAAAGGTCGTGACCCAAATGTCAACCTTCCAACAGAACCAACTTATAAACATATAACAAGAGCAACGATGGCATGGTTTTAGACCAAAGCATATTCATGAGTCAGAATGCCCTAGTCAAAGTTCGGACCTAAATCCAACTGAGAATCTGTGGCAACTCTGAATAGTTAACGTTCTCAGAGGTTCACCGTTTATTCTGGCTGAGTTTGAGGTGTTTCTGCGCAGAGATGTGGTTTGCAAAAGTTTCCAAACGCACAACGAGCTTCTACATCCTGCAGGCATTTCCAAACGCCACTGAGTTTTGTGGCTGTGAAGTAAAGAAAAGCTCCAAGAGGTGTGAGCATTTTTTTTTTTTTTTTGCAAGACGCTTTAGAGTACTGCGGGCGTCTCGATCGGATCCACACGGTGCACCTCCAGGCTCTCCCGGCCTCGGCTGAGCTCCAGGTGGACGTTCTCCTCGGCCAGGTTGCGTGCGTGCTCCTCCGACTGCAGCCTCTGTTTCAGGGTGTACTGATCGCAGCGGAAGGCCAGGGAGATCTGAGAGAATGCCGTCTGGGCACAAACACAGCTTTCAGTCCTCATGTGGAAATTTAGAATGGGTCTTATGAAAATGTTAACTTGTTTTGTAAAAGTTTTACCTCCAAGTCCTTTTCTGTCATGTCCATACTGTTAGAGAAAACCCCCCCCAAAAAATCAGGCAATAACAGGTTTGAACTCATTTATGTATACTGTCATTATGTGTCTCACCTGTTGAGGCCGACACGCTCTACGATGGACAGCTCGCTCCAGCAGGTCACCGGTGGCTCCTCCTGACTGCTTTCTGTCAGGAACATGAACCCAGGTTGGGGGTTAGGGTTAGGGTTAGGGTTAGAAGCAAGGACCACTGATCCTTTCACTCATCCGTCTCTCCGCTTCTACCTTCCTCACTGTCATTGCTGTCAGCCATGGTGGATAAATGGCGTCCGTTTGTCCCTACGTCAGACGCAAACCCCTACAGAAACACAGTCAGAGGCATTAGATATGAACGTGTGTGTGTGTAGATATAAATGCGGCAGCTGGTGGTAGATAATTCGACTCACCTCCGTGCTCATCAGTGGACACAGAAGGTCTGCATGAGCTGATTTCACATTTCAGGGTGCGAGGTTTACTGTCAGGCGTCTGCCCTCGATACATTCCTCACTCTGCATTTCTCCTGCCCTGAGAGTAGATAATCCCATTAAGAGATCCACAGTCAAAGCAGAGCAGGATCACTCACCCAAGAGGCTCATGGGAAGCTGTGTTTCATACTTGTTGAACGCAGGTGTGGTGAAACGTCCAGCCTGAGTTGTGCCCGAGTTGTGAAGGCTACAGAAAGTGTGCGAACCAGCTTTAGGTGTCGACTTCCTGATTTTACAATTGATGTTGGTGTTTCATTCAATTCAGTACTACTTTACTAATCCAAAGGGTTGATAAATGTTATTTTAAATCATGTTACAGTTCCCTTGTGGATGCTGATGGCTGTGGGAGTGGGAAGAGGGTTTCCTGTAGCAGTCGGTATTACAACAAATTTGAAGAACGCTCTGACTACACACTGTTATATAACTGTCAAATAAAGAGGTTGTTCACAATTGATCATTTCATTCTTGAAGTTTTTCTAACCAGGTTTTAAAAAATGAAGTTTTTCAAAACAAACATAAGGTTTTCTTTAAGGAATTCTACAAAATAGAAATCTTTGTAGTACCTTTTGTAGCGTCTAATGGTTTCTGTGCGTTAAGAGCGAGGAGACAAACACACCAACATACTATAAAGTAATAATTAACTTTCTGTAAGTGTGAAAGTGTAAATAATGGCTTTAACTATGAAACGGCTCATCTTAAAGTGCATCACATCCTAACCCTCCACTCCTGCCTGATCATACATCCAAACACTCTAATCTCTACAAGTTAGTTAATGCTCCACTAAATATCTCTATTAGTTGTTTTTATTCACTTTCAGCTGTGCTTGCGGATTGCTTTGAACCGTTCACTCAAAGTCTGGTTGTAGTTGTATTTATTTAGTACAAAAGTTTAAGCAATTAACGAAAAATCTGAATTGAGCACCAAGACCTGCTGTGTGAACATAGTCTGAGTTTCCACTATGCCTCCCCACTTATGAGGGAAAATTTCAGGTTTTCAATGTCAACTTATTTGCTTAGAGATGAGGAAAAACGCTTTGACCAGCAACAGCAGAACGATTCAAACCTGTTTTCAAATGCATTGCTGCTGTTTTAGATGCGTTTCCCAGCATGGAAAGCTTCTGCAGGTCTGCAATGAGTCAGGTGTTAAACCAGGAAGGAAAGAAAACAGGCAGGACACGGGCACTGAGCTAAGCTACATGTAAAGACACACAAAATTGAATATATCCTTTTTACCTTGAGCACAGAAAGATCTTACAAGTGGACTTAAAGTTGAAGCACAATAGATAGAAATAAAACAAAAGTTGATGAAAATCAACTAAACCCCTAAAATAAATGAATAAATCACATTGAGCAACACATTGGAGTTTCTCTGTTTTTATTCATAGAAAAACAAGCGTTTAATAGAGGCGCTGTGGTTTGCCCATGGTGCTCTTAATGTACAGGGCACGCACGTTCTGCCAGTTCTTCTTCAGCAAAGACACCAAGAAGTTGACGGCCAAGTGGATGTTGTAGACGAGTTCGTCTTCAGTCATCTTCACGTGTCCGACAGCCACAGCCAGACAGAGCACCTACAACACAGCAAGCGTTACTATAGAGCAACAACATAAAGTCCTGATGTCTGCTGCTGGAAGAGCTGACGCTACCTTCTTCATCTGGAACTTGATGGTGGATTTGACCTCGTCCACCTTTGTGTTCAGGTTCTCGTTGTGGGTGAGAAGGGAAGGGAATTTGCCAGCCTTGTTCAGTCCAGGACCCAAGATACGAGGAATCTGCTTGATCAGAGACTCAGAGGCCAGGAAGGCGTCGTACTTCTTGGCTGCGGGGAAAGAAAAAAAAAAAAAGACAAAAAACGTAACTATGAAGTTTGAATCTGACCTCAAGCTCATCAAGTTTGTCATTCAGCTGACTGGACCTACCGAGTTTCTTGACCAGCTTTTTGTTCTTGTTGAGCTTTTTGAGAGCCTCAATGTCCATGTGGGGAAGATCTGCGGCCTTGGCTTCATCGCAGTGCTGCTGGTCTCCCAGGACGCACACAGAGAACTTGGGCCTGGGGAGGGTCTTCAGCCTGCATGTCAACCACAGTGAGCCACAGAATAAACCAAAACACAAGGACACTGAACGGCAGCAACACTGACTGGTCATCTTCCAATCTTCTGACAGAAAGCATCTAACATTTATCTCGAAAATTATAGTCAAATACATGCATCAAGTGTCACTTTTTTGTGATTATCTTTTCAACCAGTGATCACCACCCCTATTGAAAAGCTGGTTTCTTCATCTAGATATTTGTGATGTACTATGTTGGGAGGAGATCCATGGAGCACACATCATCTCCACCAGCTGCATTTTGCTTCAAAGTTTAAACTGGATTCTAACGACACTAAAACGGCAGCACTTGAAAAAAAAAAAAAAAAAAAAAAAAAAAAAACAACAACAAACAAAAAAACCAATGTGTTAATGCCACAAATGTTCCACTTTGCAGATCCACTTTTCTTTTCTCTTGTAATGATCTGGAAATATTTCTTTTAGCAAATGAGCTAGCGGTATGATCGAGCTTCAGGGACAGATTGCGGAGTGACAAACTGCAAGGAAAAAATGTCACTTCCAAGATTCACCTCCCTGATTTTTTTTTTTCTGTAACAAAGAGAAAGTCTTACCCAAACCACTGCAGTGGTTGGTGTCCTGCTGACCCTCATGGTAACAGTAACATGGTCGGCATGAAGGCATGCAGCCACTCAAAGCCTCCCCTCATGTTTTAAGACCCAGGGTGGGGGTCCGTCTGCTTCGCCGACACCAGCCGAAACCGAGTGGGCTCAGTCAGACTACCCAGCTACTTATCCATGCTTGTTCCTGTCCTGTCTGGGCTTTTGAGAATTTACCCTTTCGTTTTCCTCATTTTGAAAAACGGCTAAATCTGAACTCAGACAGGGTTGGACGCAAACAGGGAAAAGGTTGGGTGAAACAGTGAAGTGCCGAACCTGACAGTGCCGGAGAAACGCTTGTCCTTCTGAGGATCGTAGTTTTTAAGGCTGATCTGCAGCTCCACGCTCTCCACGAACCTAACAACAAATATCCCATTTTAAATTTTTCTTCTTTTTTTTTCATATATATTTTACAAAAGTATTTCAGAAGCATGTACTTACTTCCTCCGCTTGGCCACGGAGCCCTGCAGGACCTCCTTTACAGCTTCATACAACGTGTCCCTGGAAACCTTACTGTACAAAACAAAAATAAAACAGAAAGACTGTGACTCCTCGGTTTCACCCAAGATACAGAAAACCAGCAAGACATTCCGACTCTAGAAAATTAGTTTGCCAATTTTTCTTACTTGTAGGATGAGCAGGTATCTCTGCAAACATTTCACAAGGTGCTACCAGTCCTGTAACAGTGGTAGCACCTTTTTTTTCTGAACACTTTGTTTTCACCATTAACAAATATTCTCCCTTCAAACAAAGGCATCCAGATTGCATTCTTTTCAAAAGTAGTTAATACACTTTAGTATGATGTTTGAGCAGGATAACCAACCATGTGCACAATAATAAAATCTTTACATTTCTTCCTGTCATCTGAGAACATTCTACCATTTAAAGAATATGTGTGTAATCAACCGGGGCAAACCAACAGTGTCACCATTTAAACATGTGAAAATGTTGTTTCCTATTATAACAAGCGCGACTTTTAGGAATAATAATGGACCGTTGTCAATTTAGTAATTAAACATTTTATAACCAGTGAAAAACACACTTATTACGTATATTTTTGTATTTGTAAAAAATACATTATTTGGGGTGGAGGGAGCAGCAAACACACCAGTAGTTAGGATTAAAACGCAGGTGTAAAAAGTGAAAATGACGCGTATATTAAATGCTATCATCTGTACTAATACATTCGGTAAGAGCTACTCGTGGGTCGCTGCAAAGACATGACGCTAAAACTCTTAAAATGGCTTCAAAGTGCGGTAAAAATCAGATGAACAGAATCTGAAATGAGCGATGAAACTATAAAACCCCAAAAGGTGGTGAAAAATGCTCTACAGCACGCGGATGGAGTTGGATGTTTGTTTAAAAAAAAAAAGCCGAGCGGTGTTTCCTTCGGGTTCACCGGCTGGGGAAACGGTCGCGTGTTCCAAGATTTAGATCATTAGGAGAAGAAATACCGAACAAAACCAAAACCTTCACACTTTAATACGTTTGTAATCCCCATACAACTAATTCGGCTGCATTATTACATGCGTACAATCACTGTTTAATGTATTAATTGGTCAAATCATGCTAACCTCATTTTAGCGGCTTGTCTCCGACGTCGCGCTACGCTGAAAAAGGAAGTGCCGGAGGAAGTTACGCAGAATAAAGACGCGCTACGTCACTCAGAGAGGGCTTTTTTTAAAATAAACTTTATTCAGACAGTACAATTTTACACAGGGTTCACGCATATTTATTTAAAAACATAACAGTAAATAGTTAGATATTAGCGAATAATAAAGTTTAACATCATGTAATTTTATTCTTTCTAATTAATTTTTATCGTGCCACTTGTAAAAATATGAGTATTGACAGTTGAATACTAAAAATAGTGTCAATCAAATTCTATATATATCTCTATTTATATATGTTGCTCCTTTTCTATACAGTTCAGTGGAATTTTTTGTTTTGATTTATGTCTTAGAAATTTCAGATAATGATATTATTAATGGTAGTTTTATTTATTTTTATTTTTTTAAATTTGTCTAAAACAATCTAGTGTTTTGTCGGCAATTGCCTTCTAAACCTGAACATCAGCTAGACAGTGTATCAAATTCAAGGCCTGTGGGCCAAGTCTGGTCCCCCATAGCTACTTAAATGGCCTTCTAGGCCCTAGAAAGTCACATAAAAGCTAACTAAACCACAATCATTGTTTAATTAGCCAACAAGAATTTCATCTGGATTTAAATTCTGGCAAAGCTGAACTTTAATACTAACTGTTAGTATTACTTGTTTTATTTATCAGTAAAAATCAGTTGAAGTATTGGAATGTTTGCAGGGATCATACTTTAAAAAA